TCAGGCAGCATTATCACTCTCAATGAATTATGATATTTGAAATTTTGCGAAATAATTAGTCAGGATAAATATGAATTCAACTATTGAAAAAATATACTACAATCTCCACAAACCTCCACTCTAAAGTAAATATCTCCCGGTTTTGTGGTTAAATTAGCTGGGAAGGAATAAAGCAACATTCGATATAGATTTTAGAGTAAGCCTTTCATGTGTGACTGACCCCATCTCTCCTGTAGAATATTAGACGGTAGTAAATGACAAAGATAACCCGGTACATGCCATTTTCAAAGATCACGATGAGTTCTCAATAAATTCTCTCCTCTATGTATTGACCGAAAAGTTTTACAAGCAATTTTAAAGTAAAAGACTTGATTCACGAATTTCATGGTCATAGTGTGCAGTGTAGAAGAGCTAAAGGTACACAGTGAAGTTCCAAACAGGACTATCCTAACACAGCTCCCAGTTTCACTCTATATGACTGAGTTACCAGGTCGTAAAATCATCTGATCTATTGTTTGCAGATGATATCGAGGGATTGAAACCAATAAGCAATGTGACTGAGGCGGTAAGATTTCAGTGGGATTTTAATACCTTGATTGTTTGGACAAATCAGTGGTCGTTGGAAGTGAATACTAGGATGAGAACAGTAATGTCAGAAAATCACTGTGATGATTTTAACTACTACCCAAAGTGACTGATCACACAGATTTAAGAGTTCTAGCAATTGGTGATTCAATAGCCTCAAGTTACCACAATGTAACTGTGGCTATGTGGTGTTTGGATTAACTAATGTTTTTATGTGCTTGTTGACTGCTTGATTTCGAATTCTAAATACAATAAATTCGTTTGTGCTCATCTAGTACTTCTTAATTCAATCGCGTTATTTCGGGGATTCTTAGTTCATACTACAATTCAAATAATTCAAAACATCAAAGGTTAACATTTGCCGAGTCTTATGGGTGATTAATGAAGACTTTAGTAACATGTACAAATATATGTTAACAATATTATTCACGAGATATGTCTTAAGGGAGTTGAGATATAGAATTCAAGCTGCGAGTTATCCTATAGAATATGAAGCGGATTTGTTATAACGAGCTCGACAAACAGAGATAAAAATGTGAGGAATCATTCCTGTCTATCTTATAAAGATCAAGGAAATAGATTGAGGTTCAAATGATTATGGATGGAATAGAAGAAGCTTTCGTTTAACAGACTTTCGTGTCTAGTAGCAAGGGATCACCAATACCTCCAAGCAGGAACCTAGGTATATTAATTACAGTAGATTTTTATAAAAACGAAATTAATAACTCATAACAAGATTTTATCCTTAGTTTTTGAGAATACGTCGAGTTTCCTCTTAAGGGACTCCTAGGAAGTCGCTTGGACTAGTTCAGTCGGCAGCGAATTCCAGCATTTGACAACTCTTAAGGAATAGAAGTTGTGTCTACAGTCCGTTCTGCTATGTTGTATCTCCAATTTCTGGGTGTTATCCCTTAGGTTTGTGTTGATACTAAACATAAATAAATGTTTAAGGTGTGTTCAGAAATGTTAAGGATACAGTAAGCCATTAGAAAGTCACCTCTAAGACGCCTGTAATCTAATGGGCAAAGTTTAAGCGATTGGAGGCGTTCTTAATTAGGCTTGAATTTCAGTCCTCGAACTGATTTTGTGGCTCGCCGTTGGATACGCTCCAGAGTGTCCTTATCATTTTGGAGTGAGGGAGGAAATACTATACTTCCATGCTCTAAATCGAGACGAATAAAACTGTTGAAGATTATGTGGAGAGTTCTTCCGTCAAACTGGCCAAAAATGCGCTTCAATGTCAGCAGTGCAAGGTTTGCTCGAAAAGCATTTTTGTCACAGTTAGCTTACGACTTCAAGTCGTAGGGCACCAGGACTACTCAGTCTTTTTCGACTCGGGATACTACTAGAGAGGAGTTTCTAAAGTTGTAACTGTAGTCTGCGACATGTCGCAGATGGACTACTTTACACTTTGAAGTGTTAAAGATAATTCCGTTATCGTCTGTCCAACTCTGAAGTCGAGTCAGGTCCTCCTGAAGTGCCTGTATATCCTCTTCAATGCGTATCTCTCTAAAGTTACACAGCAAAAAGTAATACGTCTGACGACACCTGTTATGGAAGGTCATTTATAAATATCAAGAAGAGAAGAGGCCCTATTACTGAGCCCTTGGGGACCTCACTAAGACATCACATAGCCTGAGATAAAGTGAAGTTAATCCTGACCTTAGAATGTCGATTTTCCGGATATGAAATCAGCCAATCAATTAGAAGTGGGCTGATACCCAATCATTTGAGCTCACTGATAAGACATATATGATTTACCCTATCAAAAGCTTTTGAGAAATGAAGGTAAATGATATGAACTTTCCACTTGCGATCAAGGTTGCTTGTCCACCTGTCCACCGCAGTCAGAAGGTTGGTTATACGAGAGTAACCCTTCCTGTTGGAATGAGAAGAAATTTAAAGACAGTAAACAGTCATGTATACTATCGCATATCAGGGACTGCATGATTTTCGAAGACATAGGGAGAAGAGCCACCGGTCGATAACTTGAAGGTTCGCTGCGTCGACCTCCTCTGAAAATTTGTGTGATGTGAGCCAGCTTCCAATTTTCCAGTGGGTTTTCGTGCCTCTAGGTAACTCTCGTGCTACTGACAGAAGAAACCAGACAAGTAGTGAATAGGTCTTTATTTAGATCTTAGCACAGTCACAGCAGAGCGTGGGATTATTTGTTCACACAAAGCCTCTCGACATTCAGTATAAGATAATAGGAAATATAACGCCTATACAAAATAAGGAAGTGAATGAATACTTGAACTATACTGTTTTGACATATGCTTAGTTGTTTGAGATGAACTCTTAACCAACCAACCTAAGCTGTTACAAGTTTACCTTGGCTTAGTGAATGTGAGAACACTACGCCACGCGGTGTTGGCACGATTGAGGCCGCTTCCTTCAGTATAGCAGAATGAACCATATCTGGGTCAGGAGAAGCGCCTTTTCTTAGGTAATGCAGTTTCCGAAACACCAAGTCAGCGCCCAGGTTCACTACGGAAATTCCTTTTTCAGTTGCAGATGAAGCTGTCCTCAGTATAGTTGATGTGAGTCGGTTGAAATGTCCGGGAGTATTTTTCAGCCAAAAGGTTTGCGGCGTCACCGTCGTTCTTGGTCGGGCCATTAGGAGCTAGCAGTTGGGAAACCCCAGTTTTGGTTTGACGAAGAGAGGCTGCACAACGGAATAAGCTTTTCGGATTGGAGACAAATTTATCCATAAGCTTTATCTGGTAATGAATCCTGTCTTTTCTTGAAGCCTTCGTGCATATGTTCCTTGTATGTTTGTATTGCCTGTACGCTCCATTGTTGTCAGTTTGTAGAATTATGGGCTACTATGATATTAGTATTGCTCTAATAATAGACCTAATCCTAAATTTGTAGATTTGTCATGATATAACTGCCTAATCTATAAGATCTTACGTGGAAGTCACACCATCGACTACACCAGCTCACTGTATCGTATCAATTACCAATACATGATGTAGAACAAGGTTAGGCTAGAGAGAGAACAATACATTTAATATGAATAGAAGATATAAGGTAAAATTCAGCAGAGACCACGCCTGCATGGCCGAACCATGCCACTCGATCAACTCCAGTTCAATCAATTCATCGTTCCCGCCTTTTCCATCGTTAGGTATTTGTCCGTGTTAAATATTGAATATCTATTTTCCGAGTAGTGTTGTGTTCAGCTTTGAAGATTGCGTGGTTATGGTCCAATGCCACTACAAGTTCGTTTGTATTCTGCCCAATCGTGCCTTTTGCGGCTTAGCAGGCGAAGAGTGAGGACCTTGATGATTGTAGTTTGCTTGTAGCTATTTGGGAACGTTTGAGAAACTGACTGCTTTTTAGCACATAAGAGCATGTGCAGTGAGGAGTCTCAATGAGCATCCACATGAAGTTGAGGCTGAACATCCCAATCCACCTGTTATAAATAGTCCTGTAGAGCTGACAAATTCAACCGTTTGAAATTCCAGCGCATTTTGTTGGTGGAATATCTTAGCTTAGTTTTGTTGACAAAACTTAAAGCTATGACGGCGTTATCGCTTTTCTCCAGAGGAGAAAGGATTGAGAGGTTGTCAACTAGAAATTCTTACTTTGTAAATACTCAGTCTAAGCGCGACGGTATCTGACTGTTTCTCAAACGAGTTAACGGCTTCACATTTTCGTTTAATCCCAGGTCCTTAATGAGGCTGGAGAACTGAGCTTCAGTTGAGTTTTCACCTCCATTATACGTATGCTCCGCGAAACTGACTCTAGGGAGATTGAAGTCCACTAGAATCAGGATAAGAGTGAATCTGAGACGGGTTGAGCGGGACAATCTTTGCAGCATACGACTGTCATAATCAGAAGTATTCAAAATAATGTACTAACCAGGAATTCCTGAAATAGTGCAATTTACTGCAGGTAAAATTAGGTGAGCACAAATGAACGTAATATATTTAGAATTCGAAATCAGCGGGCCTTCAAGTGCAAAAGGTTCATTAGTTCATACCAATATCACAGTGTTTCAGTCTATCTTGCTGTAAAATAAAAGTTTATCAGAGGTTGGATTACTCTACACTGAATGAAAAAATTTGCGATAATGTATTGCGCATTTTTATTACACCTGGGATTGATGGTCTGAATGGAGATTCTCATACAGTTAAATAATTGGAGACTAAATAATCTACGTCTGAAGTTGCATTCGATGTATAAAGTAATAAATGACTGGAATTAACTCAATGAACATATGGTATCAGTACCTTCTTCAGATATATTCACAGTTTAGTGGGATTCACACAGACCTACGAATCGCGAAAATTAACATTGATCACTTGTCTTTTGTCTATTTCTGTCTGTTATATATATATATATATATATATATATATATATATAGAGAGAGAGAGAGAGAGAGAGAGAGGGAGAGAGAGAAAGTTAATCTTGATGCGGTAGTACCAGACACAGTATATCGTTAAACAGAAACTCTTCCCTTCCTGGCAAACGTCACTTGAACATATGTGAACCTTATTTTGACCTTCATACAGGTTGCTAAGTTCGAATTCTTTGCGCAGTCATGACTTCAACGATAGAAAGGCCGATATGGGATGATGTGGACGTAAGTACTCTACTTAAGTATAATGTTTTTGATTCAGGAAGCTATGGTGGATGAAGTTATGCGCATGTCAACTGAAGAGTTAACAAGTAGAGCAAGACTACTTGATTCCGAAATTCGTGTAAATCAACATGTCGTACCATAACGTTGTTTAGTTTATGCAATCTGAGTTAAAACACGTCAATCATGAAATAAACACGAAACAAACAAAAGTTAAGGACAGTAAAAGTAAAATAAAAATGAACAAGGCACTCCCCTACTTAGTAGCAACCGTCGTTGAAGTACTATCACTGTTTCCTTATCTTAATTCCCTTAGTTGCTAGATGTGGAGCCTCAGGAAGATGAGATAGAGGAGGGAGCAAACGTTGATCTTGATTCTCAGCGTAAGGGAAAATGTGCAGTTATAAAGACAAGTACTAGACAAACATACTTCCTACCGGTCATTGGTCTTGTACCCCCCGAAGATTTAAAACCTGGAGACTTAGTTGGAGTACATAAAGACTCATACTTGATACTTGAAAAACTTCCGCCGGAATTTGACTCTCGAGTAAAGGCTATGGAAGTTGATGAACGTCCAACCGAGAGATATAGTGACATTGGTGGGCTTGATAAACAGATACAGGTAAGAAATTATTCACTCAACTTGACTTTTCAAGGAATTGATTGAAGCCGTTGTCCTTCCTATGACGCATCGTGATCGTTTCGAGGCACTTGGTATTCAGCCACCAAAAGGAGTCTTATTGTATGGTCCACCAGGTACAGGAAAAACACTGCTGGCCCGTGCATGTGCAGCTCAGACCAAATCCACTTTTCTTAAACTTGCTGGTCCTCAGTTAGTGCAAATGTTTATTGGAGATGGAGCTAAACTGGTCAGGGATGCCTTCCAATTAGCTAAAGAAAAAGCTCCAGCAATTATTTTCATCGATGAACTCGACGCCATCGGTAAACGTCACAAACTTAAATGTTCATCTATATTTTGAAAATATTTAGTCGAAATGACAAGCTCTATTTCACTTGTTCACTTAGGTTTCCTCACAGTTACCTTCTTAATATTAGAGATCATGTATCTGCTTTGGACTCCTTGTCCCATCATTCGCTCTTCCCACCATTTCAGGTTATATCATTCAGCGCTGTCGCTTGATTGCTTGACACATATATGCTTCCTTAGACGTCCCAATATTTTCAGTCTGTTAGTATTCGGATAGTTTATAAATTCATGCAAATCGGAAATCGCATCCAAAAGTTTGCCTTTTGTTGCATTATGGTCAATCATAATGTTATATTTAGGCTAATATTGTACTAACTTGTCTTGTGTTATGTATCGTGTTTAGTCCGTGTTTCTGCTTCAGTACATACTTCCTAGATAGTTATAATGTTATGTTCTTACGAATGGATTCCTGGTTGTAATATTTTATACTAAAAATTGATCTTGCTATGCACATTGAGTGAAGGGGTTAAGATCATCAGGCAGAAGTGTGAACAGGACTCCTGCTAGACTTACTAAGCTTTTATAAATTGACATGGTTGCAAATCCCATTCGCTTTAGGAGTGCATTAACAGTGATACTTTTCGACCAAAAACATCCACTTAGATCACAAACTGACTGGTATAGAAACTGTAAAACTTCATGTGACAGTATTTAGAAGCCGTACAGTTCTGCGATTGGTTGATACACTAAAGTGCATGAATCTCCAGACCTTTTTCGGAGGTAAAGGGTTTCTTTCTACAACGCCTCTTGTGTGTCTAGAAAGAACTAGCACTGGTTCTAGATTTAGGTCTCAAGACCAGTTCCGTCTTATGGTTAAAAAAATAGACTTTTATGTTGAACATTCATCAAGTGTGTTATTGGATCATATAAAGTAGGACAGAAATTTTATTAATCAGGATTTATATACCTTAGTCTTTTCTCGCTTGCTCTAATAACAGTTTCGAGATGGTGGAGATGTGTAGCTCAGGTGGCTATTTTTAGTGGAGTTTCGTTCTACGAGCTGGATGGTTTAGTTGTGGAGCTTTGATTATTCTTTTGAACACAAGCTTCTAACGAAAGAACAATGGAAGCTCCACAACTAAACTATCCGGCTCATAGAACGAAACCACCAAAAGTAACAATTTTACCTTATGTTTATTCATATATCTTGCAGTGCGTACACCTGTTATCTGGTTGCCATTGAATATATGGTGTTTTATCTTCTTCATACCTCCGAAAGTCGGTAGAATCTGACAGACTTATTCATAGCTTCTGAAAAATCATTGCGAAACTGGAACAAAAATGATAAATGGGTTTTCCAAAAGCATTTATTTACTTACTTACGCCTGTTACTCCCAATGGAGCATAGACCACCGACCAGCATTCTTCAACCCACTCTGTCCTGGGCCTTCTTTTCTAGTCCCATCCAATTCTTGTTCATTTTTCTCATGTCTATTTCCATTTCTCGGCGTAATGTGTTCCTTGGTCTTCCTCTTTTCCTTTGACCTTGAGGATTCCATGTGAGGGCTTGTCTTGTGACACAGTTGGGTGCTTTCCTCAATGTGTGTCCTATCCACTTCCAGCGCTTCTTCCTGATTTCTTCCTCCACTGGAATCTGGTTTGTTCTCTCCCACAGTGCGCTGTTGCTAATAGTGTCCGGCCAATGGATCTGAAGTATTTTGCGTAGACAATTGTTAATAAACACCTGTATTTTCTGGATGATGGCTTTTGTAGTTCTCCAGGTTTCTGGCCCATACAGTAGAACTGTCTTGACATTTGTATTAAAAATCCTGACCTTGGTGTTGGTTGACAGTTGCTTTGAGTTCCAGATGTTCCTCAGTTGTAAATATGCTGCTCTTGCTTTGCCGATCCGCGTCTTCACATCTGCATCAGATCCACCCCGTTCATCAATGATGCTGCCCAAATACGTAAAGGTTTTTACATCTTCCAAATCTTCTCCGTCAATTTTGATTGAATTGGTGCGTTCTGTGTTGTATCGGAGAATCCTGCTTTTCCCTTTGTGTATATTGAGACCTGCTGCTGCCACACTGTTCATCTTCTCCCGCATTTGTTGTTGGGCTTGGGATAGAAGGGCCAGATTGTCCAACTGCATCCTAGATATCGATTGTATCCCGTGCTTCCCTTCAGATGTTGACGTCTTCATGATCTAGTCGATCATCAGGAGAAAGAGAAAGGGTGAGAGTAAGCAACCTTGCCTAACACCGGTCTTCACTTCGAACGACTTTGTCAACTGTCCTCCATGCACGATTTTGCAGTGTAATCCATCATATGAACTCTGTATGATATTGACTATCTTCGGAGGCACGCCGTAGTGTCGAAGAAGTTTCCATGGTGTTGTTCTGTCCACGCTATCAAATGCCTTTTCGTAGTCAATGAAGTTGATGTAGAGTGATGAATTCCATTCAATTGATTGTTCCACAATGATCCGTAGAGTTGCGATTTGGTCTGTACACGATCTATCCTTACGGAATCCTGCCTGTTGGTCACGAAGTTGGGCGTCTACGCAGTCCTTCATCCTGTTTAACAATACCCTGTTGAAGACTTTTCCCGGTATTGAGAGAAGAGTGATGACCCTGTAATTATCACAGTTGCTGAGATCGCCTTTCTTCGGTATTTTGATCAGGAGTCCTTCTTTCCAGTCTGTTGGTACTTGTTCCTCATCCCAAATCTTATTGAAGAGAATGTGGAGTATCCTTGCAGTTGCCGCTACGTCTGCTTTTAGTGCCTCTGCTGGGATGTTGTCCGGTCCTGCTACTTTACCACTCTTGATTTGTCTGATGGCCATGCTGATTTCTTCAATTGTTGGTGGGCCAACATTGATTGGGAGGTCGGTGGTTGCTGCTTCGATGTTGGGTGGGTTCAATGGAGCTGGTCGATTCAAGAGTTCTTTGAAGTGTTTTATCCACCTGTTTTGTTGCTCTTCAATGTTGGTGATTACCTCACCTTCCTTGCTTTTCACTGGTCGTTCTGGTTTGCGGCGATTTCCAGAGAGTTTCTTTGTCGTGTCATACAGTTGTCTCATGTTTCCTTCTCTTGCAGCCTTTTCCGCCGTCGTTGCTAAATCTTCCACATATTTACGTTTGTCGGTTCTGATGCTCCTCTTCACTTGTTTGTTTACTTCTGTGTATTCAGCTTGTGCCTTGGCTTTTTCTGCTCTTGTTCGACTGGTATTGATTGCTGCCTTCTTGTTCCTCCTTTCTTGAATCTTATCCAGTGTATCAACAGTGATCCATTCCTTGTGATAGTGCTTCTTGTGACCCAAGACCTCATGACATGTTGAAGTGATTGCTTCTTTTATCCCCTTCCAGTTGCTCTCCGCAGTAGTTCCTTCTCCATTGAGTAGATCATGAAAGGCCTGGAACTTGTTGCTTAGGTCTATCTTGAATTTGTTGAGTTTGTTAGTATCCTGGAGAAAGGCCGTATTGAACTTTTGTGATACTGTCTGCCCCGTTGTCCAGTGCTTCTTGAGTTTCAATTTCATCTTGGCGACCAGCGATTGATGATCTGATGCTATATCAGCTCCTCTCTTGGTTCTCACGTCCTTTATAGTCCTCCTGAACGTTTTGTTGATGCAAATATGGTCGATTTGGTTTTGTGTAGAGTGATCCGGTGAAGTCCATGTGGTTTTGTGTATGCGTTTATGTATTTAAGTGTATAAAAACGTTTTCAAAAGGAGCACATCAAACCAAGTGCTCTCTGCTCAACTAAATATTGCTAATAATCATAGTACTAGAAAGCGGACATTTTGTTAAGTATTACCGGAACATTACATTAATAATTCTAACTTTCCGTAATTTCACTTAGCTGATCTATAAAGTGGATAAAGCTTGTATTTCTTGGCCACAGAAATCTATTGTCGATGAAACCAGTATGCTCACACTGTTTGTATTTCGAACTATTTTATTTGTTCCTTATTGGAAGGGCATTAAATCTTCACCTTTACTGTTTGAGCATCAACACCTCTTTACGTGACTATATTTAAATTTTACACATAAAATATGCAGTAAAAACGACTACATAAAATGCTAGTAGTACTAAGCAACTAGTTATTCATTTTCGCAGCTATTATCCTATTACTCAATGTAATTCAATAATGCTCCTTAAAACATTGCTACCGTAGCAATTTCGTTAAACAATCGTCCCAGTGAATATAAACCAAGAACAGTACAAGTTTCTGCGAAATAGTCGCCAACTAATACAATAAAGTCTGATTTCTAATCGTAACTATATACTTCCTAGGGTTATCAGAATAACAAATTTCAGAAGTTTGCTAAAGTTTCCAACCTAAGCTAAATTGAGACTTATCCTTGTTTTAAGGAACGAAGCGTTTCAATAGTGAGAAAGCTGGAGATCGTGAAGTACAGCGAACAATGTTGGAACTTCTCAATCAACTGGATGGTTTCCAACCAAACCATGACATCAAGGTGATTGCGGCTACAAATAGAGTAGATATATTAGACCCAGCGCTGTTACGAAGTGGTAGAGTTGATCGAAAAATAGAATTTCCTGCACCAAACGAAGAAGCACGTGCCCGCATTATGCAGATTCACTCTCGGAAGATGAATGTACAGTAAGTTATCTAATCTATTCTCACCAAAACATCACTTCAGAAAAGATGTCAATTTTGAGGAGCTAGCTCGCTGTACAGATGACTTTAATGGAGCTCAGTGCAAAGCTGTATGTGTGGAAGCAGTAAGTTGTATCCATTATCATTTTTTTTCGTATTTGGTGACTGACATCTTAATTTTAGCCTACTTTAGTTGTTTAGTTTCCATTAAAGATTTAAACTAATTAAAGAATTTAAAAGTCGTCCAATTTCGTTATTCAAAAGCTTGCTGATTAAATTGTTTTTATGGTTTGATTCATTTTTAGTTGTGCTCTTTGTCTTAGATAGCTAGTAATATGAAAGCTGCTATATGCGCGTTGTATTTAGCCCAGAGTGTGATCTGTGCAGTGCCGAACAAATCTAAGTTTATTTGAGGGTCTCTTGTTTATACGTTAGACAACATCAAGTCGTAGATTAGATCAGGATAACAAACTTCGGTGAAACTAACTACAGTCAGAATCTCGAATAAACTAGTGAGAGGAATCGGGTAAGTGTGGAGAGCAGTGAAACATACAATATTCAAATGAGTTAAGCCGTAAAAGCATCTGCGACACGATAACATTCTAGATTAGTCTACCTAGTCCCTGTAACTGCCATCTTCAAGCATCACGCGAAAGCTTATAGTGGCATGCACGGATGTGACTGGCTGACCAAAATAATAAGATATGTATTAGCTGATTTAAGTGGATATACTTTAAAGTAGATTAAAGGATCGTGGGGCGGCGGCTTATTGGTTAGGGTGTTTAAATTTCGGTCACTAACGTCCAGATGTGGACCTCGCCCCACCTACTTCGGTTTAGGCAGCGGGGCAGTATCAGTGTGATTCATTCCCAAGTACCTGATGAATAAGCCAACTCATATTTATTTGTGAAAGAAAAAAACGTAAGAAGAGATTAAATAGGTAAAATCAGAGTAACAGCCTAATCCATTTTCATATGGTAGTCAGTAATAAGTAAAGTAAATGGGGGCTTCCTATCAAACTACTGAGTAGATGTGAAATGTTTATTTTACTAGTTGCAGTGTCAAGGAATTCCTGGGAGTTACAATTGCTGTAATATTAGGTGAAGAAGCTTTCAGATTAAAGTTGTCTAATCGTAGGTCCCATGAGAAAAAGCCAACTGAGTAAATAGAATATTGCAACTAATTAACAGAATTTAAGATTCCAAAGCAAGAAGTTGCGTACGCACCACTAATTGTCTAAATGATTAATTATCGAGAGTCTTGAGCCATTAACTCTTTACCATCTTACAAAACCTAATTTTTCTTTATGCCTTAGTCTGGAGATTATATATACACCTAACGATCTGCCTTTATTTTAGCTGGAAATCCTTATAACGATCTGCAAAATGCTAGTAACTCGTCAGTATATTTTAACTCTGACTGGCTCAAGTCTACTCATCGGTTTATAGACACTTAGGCTAACCTTTTACAAGATATTTGCATGTTGTTGAGAAGATGAGTTAGTCATTGCTTATATTCTAAAACTGTCCTTATTTTTTCAGGGTATGATTGCGTTGCGTCGAAGTGCGTCAGAAGTAACACATGAAGATTACATGGATGCCATTTTGGAAGTTCAAGCTAAGAAGCGCACTAATCTAAATTACTATGCCTAACTACCATTAGATTATTGACAGCGTGCTTTTTATATTAAAATCACAGATGGTTTTAAAGTATACTGACTGGTGTACCGTCATCACAGTACTTTGTGTTACGAGCAGCTGTTCGTGATCCTCCATTATTTGTTAAAATATACCTTGTATTTATTTCACTTCAGGACGATGTGGTGTTCTATTTATCAACCTGATTGATGCTGTTCAATTGTTTTTCTTTGTTTTATCATCACTGTTGGTGTGATAACTAATTTGTTTTTCCCTTTATGATGTCAACGCCATCATCTTATCTTTACGTATTCTTAGGACAATAATTTTAACTGATTTGGAGTTGTGCCATCATGTTTTAGATCGAACCAGAGGCTCGTACGCGTTCTAACTACTTCGTTAACCTAGTAATATAACTAATTATTACGCAGCGATGTATCGAGTTAAGGTTTCCAATGACACCTTTAATCAAGCAGTGAAATATGCCAAAACGATTAAAATATGACAAAAGGTGTGACTTATATTTCAATTTACTGTTATATGAAGCACTCATGAATATATTGGCGTTTACATATAACATAACAGAAACATCATTCAAGGGTTCACAATTGTCTGCTAAAATTTAGGATTCGAATTCGAGTTACATGCAAAACGAAAGGCATTCAGTTTATTGGTAAAATAAATTTTAGCATAAAACTGTTTTGAAGCATCTTTCTTCTAAGTAAATGTACAATACATATATTTACAGAAAAATCTTACTGTTTAGCAGTCTCGTTTGATATTTTGGAGATTTCGGAGACCCTTAAAACAATGTTAGAAATAACCAGATAACTTACTTCTAGAAACAACTTTATCTGAGCTTTTATAGAATTAGCTCTTTTCTTGTACATATCGGCACGCCCGTTCAGGATAGAGATGCGCGAATCAATGATATTTAAGGCTTCAGCATGACTGCACTCAAGGTAAAATCCTAGGCCAATGTCAACTGCAATAGGTTCAACAGAATAACTTTACATTAAATAGTGTTATGGTCTTACATCAATCCATTTACATAAATATTGCTTCCGACATTTACTTTGGTTTTTAAGTTATTTTGAGGGACATCGATATCCTTCATTTTTTCAATAAGATTTTTTAGTTCCAAATATTCCGAAATTTGACCATACACTAAGTCTCCAGCATCTAAAGTTTTTCTGGATTTTAGATATATTTAAAGAACACCCAAGATACTTGAGGTCCGTTTTCAAAGTCTCATTAACGTGCTCTTCTAGTTTTAATATCCTTTGGTCCATTCTTCATGAGAGTCCCCCAAGGATCGGATTAATGGTAGCTAGGTGATAACTAAGTTCTATAAGGATCAAAGAACTACATTGGATGGTTTGGGAGGTATCACATAAAATTTAGAGCAAAACAATAATTGTGACGTGGATGAGTCAAAAAAATTCAGATACTAGTTTATGTCTACCATGCGATTAGCTTTGTCGCCTTTGATTTACTCTTGCTGTCCTTCAATTGAAAAAAGTACGAATTGATGATAAAAACGATACTGAAAGTACTTTATTTCATCTAGTGAGTGTTGTGATAATCGAGTGACACCTGAAGTATCGGAGGATGATGGAGTGTACAGGTCAGTCGTGATAATTTTGATTTTCCTAAACAAACTTGTAGATTTTCATGATGGCTAAATATGTTGTTCTTGCTAAAAATTCTTGAACAACACACGTATAATACGTTCTTTTCGATGTTTTATAAGTTTCAATCTTTTATTTCTGACTCCGATACCTAGAAATTTCCTACGCGACAATGCTTTAGTACGACTAAAAGAAACGGACGCCAGAGTGGCAAGCTAATAAGTGTCACTACCAAGACACAAAAATTGACAGTCTAACTGAACTCACAACGGGATTGTAAAAGTAGCAGGTTATAGAGGAAAGTTAGACAGATATACTTGAGATTGGTACAGCGGATTCAAATGCAAAATGAAATTGGATAGATGACTACGTTTACGACAGACTTATGATAATTAAGGCAAAATTATAAAGCACATATTATGCATGGAGGTCTAAGTGAAGTGAATAGTGATGTCCAAAACAATAGAGGGAGATTTGTATCTCGACATTTCAGCTTGGAGAACAAAACTGAAGTGCTACAAACACTGATTAACAAACTTGACACCAACTACCACATAATATGGTTCAAGCTTGCAGTCAGTCACAAACAACATACAATCTGGGACAAAAGTGTATCATTTAAACAACAGCAACGTAAGGGAATAAGTTGATACAGTGTAATTTGGAGTAAAAATAATTGAAAAGTGATGTGATGATGAAATTAAGAAACAAGTCACATGAAACCAAACAGAAACCGAAGGTGCATGGGATGATAAGGAATGGATATATCTCTATCACCGAGTCGGATTTCGGACCATAAAGTGTGGTCTGTTACCTTAGGCTTCGACTAGCTCACAAGTTTCGACGTGACATAGTTGGCTTCAGAGTTCATGGTCTCATTTATTCGTCTAATATCTTAAGTTAATACTATGTCTAACCTAACTACTAACCTATCGGTGATTTTCTCATATATGAGCAAAAACTTGAAGACATGTATGACCTACACCATAACCTACATTTCCACGAGTGACATCCTATGCCACGTTCTGAAATGCGACAAAACCCAGTATGGTCATATTTTCTCTTCATATACAACAAATTATGAATTGTCAGTTTTCCTTACTAGAAACTTTTTGCAAGTAACAATAACAGATTAGTTTGTGTTAACCACAGCTGGTGACCAAATTCACTGAAAACTGTGAATATGATCGAATCTACTATTTTGTGTAGATTTTAACAATATATTGTTACTTAACAATATGATTAGTTAGATTAAGAAAATCTTCGCCATAAAAACTAATATCTAAAATGAATATGTACTTGGAAATGAAACAAAAGAAGAGAGATGAAAAAGGCAAATTCTTGCATATTCACCTGATTTCCTCTGTTTTTACATACTACAGATATAGTGTCCTTGATCTTTATCCATGCTAATCATGTGTCGTTTGAAATCCAGGGAGTCAATTAAAACAGAATAGGCAGTAGAAAAAGCCTAGCTTACTCAGCAATATATCTTAAGAGAACTTTTAAGGGCCATATCGTTAACACTTAAGTATTAATTATTTCAAACGAACAAGTTAAAATGCTCAATATTGGTGACCATGAATGAAATCACACACAAATAAAAAGTGTTTTGAGACCAATACAAAAGTGATGAACGTTTACGCAATGCAGATAGGTGGACAAGGTAATACCAAAATTTTCAGACGCCTTGTAACGCGAGAGTTGAAAAGTTGCACAATACTCAATGTCTTTGTCACGACCTTGTATTGAGCGACTGAATTCGAAATAGCTTTTTCTCTCAATGTCGTTCTAGGTGTTTCTTCATGTCCAGAATAATAAGACATCACTAGTGTAAACGTGGTTTGTAGCAGTTTCGCAAGAGTACTAATCTATGAAACGACTTGGTCCTCACGTCATTCAAAAAGAGCAGTGATTTTGTACTTGTTGTCATCCTTGCTTTTGTGTACTTGTTGCATCAATGCATTGTTGGTCTACTTTTTATCAAAGTAATTTAGTTAAGGTTTGAAATCTTTCTAAAGTTTGTCTTGTGGTACCCTCTTACTCATTGACTGACACCTGTATTCATAGTGTGATCATATCGTGTTTTAAACCTTAATCTGATTACAATGGTTGGTGGTACTTATTAATGTGGACAATCAAACTGTTTGTTTCCCGTGGAGGAAGGAATGCAGTGTGATGAGTGCAAAGAGTGATTCCATAAGATGTATACTCGTTTAAGTCCCACCTCATACAAAAGATGCTCAAAGCCTAACTTGCACTGGCTTTTCAGGTTTTGCTGTGCAAATAAGACGTTACTAATATAGGAGGCCAGAAGCCTATTGGCTTTGGTCTGTAAGAAGAACGGTGGCGGTTGCGCTGATAACACGAGCACTGGCAGAGAAGAATGTGTCAGTGTAGTACGTGCTGTCACGAGACGCCTCAAACACACGGCTGCTGTTGACGGAAAAGTGAAATTTCTGTTAACATTAATGAGTAGGGATGTTCCACCTGACAATGACACTGGTAATCATGCACCTTTAGTGGGAATTGAAGACCCAAATAAAAACGTCACCGTTCCAAATAGTTCTGGTGTCCTGAGTGACGAAAAATGAACTACAGTACGGAGAAAAAGAAACGAGAAAAGGCTGTAGACAGTACGCAGCTAGTTATCAAGTCATTGGTGGACTCCCATTGTTAATCACAAAATGCACTATCAAAGCCTGATAGTAAGGGAGAATTTCAACCAGGCGTCATTGAGAAGGAGAACCTAATCTCATCGAATACTATTGTGAGTAAATTGCTGGAGTCAAGCGATCCTGATCCCAAAATGAGACACGCGCATGATTTAAAGAAGCTGGGAGAATATACAATTAGTATCTTACCAGATAACTCTAAAGCAGTTCAGGTCAAAAAATTGGTAAAAATAGGTAAGAGGACCGAGAACAACGTTGAACCCCGACCATGTGGACTTTTTAAGGTAATCCTGGGATCGGAGAATCAACGTGATCTCATGTTAAGTAACGCTCGCAGTCACGACAATTCCGACATCCGAGTTAGACCTGATGTGTCTCTTGAAGATAGAATGAAAAGGAAGAAGTAGCTAGCTGAACTAGAAACCTGTTAACAAAACGGTAAGGGAAATCTCTTGTCAGTGGGTTTTCAGATAGTCAGGTCTTGGAAGCGAATGCTACCAAGGCATGTGTGGATAGACCAAGGTTTTTCTCTGGTGGAATTGGTAATCACTCATGAGACTGAGGATATTGTTGACCTGAATATTCTTCCACCCTCAGTGAATAGCGATCACGCTGTTTTGTCATTCATGTTTAGAACTAGGGACATAAAATACTATCGGGTTACACCCCGCCCAAGTGTGTAGAGAGCTAAAATATGAGCCATTCAGGAATGCGCTGTCAAGACAGATTGGTTTGTAGATACTAGCTTATCAGTTGAAGAAGCATGGTCTGTATTTAAAGGTAAGTTTGGTTTAGTTACGTCCTCGACCATACCATACCTGGTACCGCGAAGATCGAATAACAGTCCACCATGGATAACTAAAACAGTCAGCAAACTTCTTAGAAAAAGGATGAAGCACTAGAAATTGTTCATCTCCACTTGCTTAGAACAATACAGATCCAGTTATTGTGAGATTAGGAATGCCAGTAAGGCGTTCATAAGTAAGACAAGACGATCATATGAAAAACGAATGGTTAGAGATTATAGATATAGTCCGAAACGTTTATTCTCGTATATAAAAAAGCGAACTCAGAGAAGCTATGGAATTCCATCACTTTCGATACAAGGAAATCCGTTAATCTTGGCAAGAAATGATACCGGAAATGCTGAGTCTTTATCGGAATATTTCGGTAAATTGTCTTCTGTCGGTAATAAGGAACGACCAATGGTTCATTGTGATTTTGGCGGCTCGTTGATGGACCATGTAGTCATTGAGAAAGGTACTGTTTTAAGGCTAATTCAGCATACTAAACCTGATAAGTCCAGTGGTCCTGATAATATTCATCCTAGGATTATGAAAGTCATATCAGATGCAGTCGCTGAACCTTTAGCGATACTATTTGACACGTCGCTGAAGGAGTCCAGACTGCAAAGAGGCTGGAAAGACGCTATGATAACTTCAGTGTATACGGATGGGAATAGGTATTTACTTAGTAACTATACATCCACTAGCTTGACTAGTGCGGTTGTAAAACTGATGGAAGAATTCATTTGGATATCTTTTATGAACCACGTTAAAGGGCATAATCTTTTCTCCAGGGACCAGCATGGTTTTCGGAGAGGCCTATCAGGCTTGACATATCTTCTCATTGCAAGAGAATATTGGGCTGCGTCAAAAGATCGGAATATTCTTGTAGATGCGATCATCACAGATCTAAGTAAGGCCTTTGACAAGGTCTCTCATTCTGGTCTTAAATTCAAACTGGAACTTTTGGAATCCATTATACAGTCGTAGATTGGATAAGTAATTTTCAGCATGACAGGAGACAAAGGGTAAGGATTAATGGGGATCTTCCTCGTGGGTGCCTGTAAAAAGTGGAGTTCCCCAAGGTACAATCCTCGGTTCTTTTCCCTTTTTACTTTATGTACATGAATCGCTGACTATAGCAACATCATCCGTTCTACTCTTCACTGGCAACATAAAAATTTGGAGACCCATACATAGTATATCGGATAGAATTGTATTACAGAATGATCTTAGCTCATTGGTGGCATGGTTGAACAGGTGGTCACTAGAAGTAAATCCTAATAAGAGTGTAGTGATGCAGTTAAATAACTCTGATGAATCGTATGACTATACATTACGTGGATTCTATCAAGATTTAGGAGTCATATTAAGCAGTGATCTCAAAACCACTGGTCACTGCAAGGTTAATTTTGCGGAAGGCTATAAGGTATTATGGTCTATTCGCAGGTTTTTCCAGTATTTAGATAACGAAACGTTCAAATTATTATACACGATTTACGTGCGACTACATTTGGAATATGGGCTTCAAGCAGATATGCTGGAAAGAGTCCAACGACGAGGCACTAAGATGGTAAAAGGTCTATCTGGCCTATCTTATGAAGACAGACTGAGACACCTTAACTTATCTCCGTTATCCTGCCGTAGAATACGGGGTGATCAAATATTGGCTTATCGTATACTGAACGACGACCTCGGTATTCACATGTCTAACATTTTACTGCCGTCTAGAACTGATCATCTGAGACGACTTCCGAAGAAAGTTCAAAAACCGAGATCAAATAGTTTACGTCCGGAGTTTCGTTTCTAGCACCGAGCAGTGAGTTACTAGAATTCTCTACCAGAAGACGTAATATCAGCACCTTCTGTTGATATATTCAAAACGAGATTGGACCTCTAATGTGTTACGAACTTCAGGGATTATTACTGAGGACTGAAATTAGCAACAGGGTTTCAAGGTGTCCGCGCACTTGTAGCGTATTACCGAGCTATCATTGGAATCGGTATTTATCCTATGTACAGTGATTTTTGACTTTAAACGTCAACGTTTTAGTATATGAATATGTTCACATTTTTATCTCAGTGCACAAATTCTCTTTCCGTAGTCGGATATATGTTTGATACTTCTACAGAAATGAAGAGACATTTCATGCGTGGAGCTTCGAAATGCTGTCGTTCGAGTCTCACATTATGAAATGACGCACACTCAATCAACTCAGATGTCGGGGATAATGAAGTGTGAAATATACTTGCGTTTTTGGCAGAAGTGTTGTAGCGTATAAAATCTAATCTAGCTACATATCGGTGTCGTGTATGGCTTATAGAAACGTGATTCTTTGTCGAAACGTGATTGAGCACCTTTAATTCATGACGTTTTTAGTAAAACTAATAGGATCAGCTTGAATTTTAAAGTTGTATGAGCTACTTATTTGTGGGAAATTATTAACCACTACTACCAATTTTATCACTTTTTAAGGATCAACTAAAAACCGAACGAATAAAGACTTAGCAAAGTTCACGCAACATTTTGTGAGATTTTTATTTCAGTTATTGCGTTTATCCAAAATCTTTGTGGAGAGCCACTGCAAAAAAACGTAAGTTTTTTGTGTTTTGTATCAGTCGTTTCTTTTCTGTGCCAGGTCTCCAGCGACGTCTAATGAGAGTAGCCTTAACCCTCCACTGCAGTATTTGTGTTCGGTTTTTTGGTTATCTGTGAGTTTGTGGACCTTGTAATCTGAGTGAGATCATTGTTGAAGGACGAAAGGATTGCAGGGACCAATAAACGTTACAATATTTGGTAGGTCGATTAGTTGTAATTTGTAAACTACTAGAAAAAAGATTCGAACACGTAAGAGTGAAGAATAGATGAGTGCCATAAGAAGGAGCAACTAAATCAATTAATAAACTAATAACTCAAACGATATGAATAGATATAGATGTAAGAAATATGGGTAGGAGAATGTGAAAACAAATAAGTTATGGATAGCATTAACGGAAGGCGTGTTGACAGACACATATAAGGCAAAACTAGTCTAAGTGGAAGATGTAGGCTGGTCGTCTGATTTAGTTTCTATCAGATGTTGATGTCGCCAATGTGGAAGCAGGAGAAAGGAGTACGTGCGAACAGTACCAAAAACTGTGGAACAATAATGGAAGGTAATGGAAGCACACAATGACTATAATTAGCACAGTTAAACAAAAGCACATTAAAATAAGCACTGGTACAGTCGGTTATATAAGCGATCGTTGATCGTCGAGTTGCCAACGAAGTTC